AAGCTGGCAGCGGCAGACCGCGCCCGCGCGCCGGAGCCCCAGCGCCTGCGCGGCCCTCTCGAAGGCCTGGCCCGCCTGCGCGCTGCTGACCGCGAACAGAGGAGGAGCCGAGGCAGCGCCCACAGGCCGCCTCAGCACCGACAGCCGCCACTGGGCACCGAAGCGCGCCTCCAGCAGGGCGGCGAGGGCCGGCCCGAGGCCCGCCTGCCGCTCGAACTCCAGGAGCTGAGCCTGATCGAACTTCCCGGTCTTGGAGGCGACCCCGTGCTCGCGGGCACGCAGCGTTAGCGACCAGCTGCCGCCCGCCCGCGCCCCTGCCACGGGGGGCGCCAGGTTCTTCGCGCGGAGGGTGAACGGCTCGTTCGGGCGGCAGTACATCTCGCACGTCAGCCACGTCACGAGCCCCTCCTCCCAGAGGCCGCGCAGCCACATCCACATCACGATCATGGGCATCACCTCGCACGGCACTCCGATCCTGGAACCCGCAGGCGCCAGGCGCTGCCAGCCCTTCGGCGCCTCGCTCCGCAGGGCCCGCCAGCAGCCCTCGAAAGAGGCGACAGTTTCGCAGATCGCCAGCCTCCCATGTACGGCGAGGTCCCGCTCAAGTCCGCGCGGTGCTTCACCCCGCAGGGCCCGCCAGCAGCCCTCGAAAGTGGCTACAGTTTCGCAAATCGCAACCTCCCAGGGACGGCGAGGTACCGCTCGGTTTCGCGCGGTGCCTCACTCCGCAGGACCCACCAGCAGCCATCGCAGATCGCAGCCCCCCAGGGACGGCGAGGTACCGCTCAGGTCCGCGCGGTGCCTCACTCCGCAGGACCCACAAGCAGCCCTCGAAATCGGCAACAGTTTCGCAGATCGTAGCCCCCCGGGGGCGGCGAGGCACCGCTCAGGTCCGCGCGGCGCCTCGCTCCACAGGACCCACCCGCAGCCCTCGAAAGTGGCGGCAGTTTCGCAGATCGCAGCCCACCAGGAACGGCGAGGTCCCGCTCAGGTCCGCGCGGTGCCCCACTCCGCAGGACCCACCAGCAGCCCTCGAAAGTGGCGACAGCGTCGCAGATCGCAACCTCCCTGGGACGGCGAGGGTATACCGCTCAGGTCCGCGCGGGCCTCACTCCGCTGACACCCCCCCAGCAGCCCTACGAATGCGGCGCAGTTTCGCAGATCGCACCCACCACAAACCCAGGGACGGGGAGGTCCGCTCGGTTTCGCGCGGCGCCTCGCTCCGCTGGGCCCACCAACTGCCCTCGAAACTGGCGAACAGCTTCGCAGATCGCAGCCCCACCAGAAGACGGCGAGGACCGTCGTTTTCGCGCGGTGCCCACTCCGCAGGACCCCACCAGCAGCCATCGCAGATCGCAAAACCAAACAACAAACACAATAAAAACACTCCTGAACAAAAAAAAACATTTTCAAATCAACAACCAAATAACAAAAAAACAAAGAACAAAATAAAAAAAAAAAAAAAATAAAAACAAAAAAGAAAGAAAAAAAAAACGGACGTCATAACAAAAGTAACAAAAAAAAAAAACAAAAAAAATAAAACAAAAAAAAAAAAAAAAACAAAAACACAAACTAAAAAAAGACAAAAGCCCCCCACAGGGACGGCGAGGTCCCGCTCGGGTCCGCGCGGTGCCTCGCTCCGCAGGACCCACCAGCAGCCCTCGAAAGTGGCGACAGTTTCGCAGATCGCAACCTCCCAGGGACGGCGAGGTACCGCTCGGTTTCGCGCGGTGCCTCACTCCGCAGGACCCACCAGCAGCCATCGCAGATCGCAGCCCCCCAGGGACGGCGAGGTCCCGCTCAGGTCCGCGCGGTGCCTCACTCTGCAGGGCCCGCCAGCAGCCCTCGAAAGTGGCGACAGCGTCGCAGATCGCAGCCCCCCCAGGGACAACGAGGCCCTGCTCAGGTCCGCGCGGCGCCTCGCTCCGCAAGGCCCACCAGCAACCCTCGAAAACGGCGACAGTTTCGCAGACCGCAGCCCACCAGGGACGGCGAGGCCGCGCCAATATATCATGAAAATGATTTTTATGTCACCAGAGACGCGCGGCGCGGCGCCTCGCTCCGCAGGACCCACCAGCAGCTCCAAAAGCGGCGGCAGTTTCGCAGATCGCAGCCCCCCAGGGACGGCGAGGCCCCGCTCAGGTCCGCGCGGCGCCTCGCTCCGCAGGACCCACCAGCAGCCCTCGAAAGTGGCGACAGTTTGGCAGATCGCAGCCCACCAGGAACGGCGAGGTCCCGCTCAGGTCCGCGCGGTGCCTCACTCCGCAGGACCCGCCAGCAGCCCTCGAAATCGGCGACAGTTTCGCAGATCGCAGCCCACCAGGGGCGGCGAGGTACCGCTCAGGTCCGCGCGGCGCCTCGCTCCGCAGGACCCGCCAGCAACCCTCGAAAGCGGCGACAGTTCCGCAGATCGCAGCCCCCCAAGGACGGCGAGGCCCCGCTCAGGTCCGCGCGGTGCCTCGCTCCGCGGGGCCCGCCAGCAGCCCTCGAAAGCGGCGACAGCTTCGCAGGTCGCAGCCCCCCAGCGACGGCGAAGAGAAGGCGGGGGGCGAGAGGGGGCGGGGGGCGGGGGGAGGAGAGGAAGGAGAGACGCGACCGCACCCCTCTTTTCAAAACGAATACCCAACCAAGGAGGGTTGGGAATAAAGATCTGCTGAGAAAGCGCTTGGCCCGCTGCGCTGACACTGGGAGTTTCTTCCGCGGCATGGGCCGCGTGTTTGCGCGCGCCTTCTTGCCCAGAGTCCCGTCGGAACTCCTGGGACAGTTGAGGCCGCGTCTGCTGTGCGTGGATAGGGGAAGGGTGCGCTTCGGCCCCGTGAGACGTAAAGGTCAATGTCATGCGCAGTCCACTCTTGAAGCCAAGTGCGCCTGCGCCGCCGACCCTCTGCTATGCGTTCGCATGTGGGCCTCGTGGCTACTCGCAGGCCGTCGCGACATGAACGCAGAAGTGCCCCCGCCAGGGTACTGCGCCAAGTTCCTCGCCGGCCTCCGCGAGGACTGGGCGGCTGTAGGCGCGCCGGCGGCAGAGGCATTGGGAATTGCATCCCACGCCTTCCGCCACGGAGCTGCGATGGACATGCGCGACGCAGACGGGTTCGCAGCTGCTTGCGTCCGCGGGGTCTGGCGAAGTGGGGCAGTTACAGCTTATGTCACCCCTGCTGCCATTGAGTCGCGAGTCCTGGCCGAAGCGCTTTGCGCGGCTTCTGATGATGAGGGTTCCTAACCTGGTGTTCTCCCGTTTTCCATTGGTTCCCATTGGCGGCGCCTCCCTGAGGCGTGCGCAACGCGGAAAAATAGAAACAGGCGAGGGAGGCAGGGGACCAACTGCTGGCGTCACTCCGACTCTTCAGGCCCCCCCCCCCAGCACCCGCTCGCCGCGCGGCGCTCGGCTCTGGCGCGGCAAGCCTGCCCGCCCGCCCGGCCCTGAAGATGTCTGCGGCGGCGGCGCCTCCCGGAGGTGCGCGCCGACGGAAAACAATTGAAACAAATGAGGGAGGCAGGGGGCCAACTCTCCAGCGCCGGCCCTGCAGGTAGCCTGCCATCGCGAACAAACTCCGCGACGCGCCTGCGCCCGCCCGCGCCCCGCAAGTCCGCGAGAGGAATCGCGCGGCTACCCGCGGACGGCAGCGAGAGCAGAACGGGCTTGCAATTCCCCAACTTCACGTCCTCCTCGGGACCGTAGAAGCCAGGCGCTCGAAGCCCCCGCAGAGCTTCTGAGGTGTCGACGCCTGCCGGTGGAGCCCCGAGCGCTCCCACTGAATCGCGCGCGTGCCCCGTGATGCGCTGCTGCATCAGCAACAGAGGCCCGCGATTGAGTTGACCCTCTCCGCCCGGCGCAGCAGGAGAGCGATGCAATGATTTTTAAAACTATATGAAGGAGAAAAAAAAAAAAAAAAAAAAAAAAAAAAAAAAAAAAAAAAAAAAAAAAAAAAAAAAAAAAAAAAAAAAAAAAAAAAAAAAAAAAAAAAAAAAAAAAAAAAAAAAAAAAAGAAAAAAATAAAAAAAAATAAAAAAATAAAAAAAAAAAAAAAAAAAAAAAAAAATAAAAAAAAAAAAAAAAAAAAAAAAAAAAAAAAAAAAAAAAAAAAAAAAAAAAAAAAAAATAAAAAAAAAAAAAAAAAAAAAAAAAAAAAAAAAAAAAAAAAAAAATAAGAATAAAAAAAAAAAAAAAAAAAAAAATTAAAAAAAAAAAAAAAAAAAAAAAAAAAAAAAAAAAAAAAAAAAAAAAAAAAAAAAAAAAAAAAAAAAAAAAAAAAAAAAAAAAAAAAAAAAAAAAAAAAAAAAAAAAAAAAAAAACTAAAAAAAAAAATAAAAAAAAAAAAAAAAAAAAAAAAAAAAAAAAAAAAAAAAAAAAAAAAAAAAAAAAAAAAAAAAAAAAAAAAAAAAAAAAAAAAAAAAAAAAAAAAAAACAAAAAATAAAAAAAAAAAAAAAAAAAAAAAAAAAATAAAAAAAAAAAAAAAAAAAAAAAAAAAAAAAAAACAAAAAAAAAAAAAAAAAAAAAAAAAAAAAAGCAACGACAGCCCTCCGAACGTCGGTCACGAGCATGGCGCCGCTGAGCCCGCTGACGGCACCCACGAGACAAAAATCCACCGCTGGCAGCACGGTCAGAAGCGACCGGCGGAAGTGGAAGAGGTCGGGGATTGCGAGCAACGTGTCGACAGGGCTCATCGTGACCAGATCGCCCGAATTGACCGCGCAGAGGCGCCCCCCGATCGGCGGCCGACCGGGGGCCGCGGAGGGGGCGCTCCATGCCCCCTCAACCTTGTCCATCTTTCGTGCCCTTCTGGAGAACCTCCTTCTCTGCAGGAGGTTCATGGAGATTCTTCGCTTGGGCTGCTAGGGCAGCTTCATGCCCAATTTTCCTCCTCACGAACTGTAGCAATTCGGGGCGCACAGTCGAGCTGCACGAGTTCCGAGCCGAGCCTGCAAGGTGAGTCTGCTCATCGATCGACAACTTCCCGCTCTGGATCCCCCCTCCTCGCTCTCTCACCTTCTCCCCTTACGAGAACTCAATCGTCTGCCTGTGCCGCAGCATCGCCTCGCAAGCCTGCAGGTTGGCATCGTTGCACTGACCTGAGATCAGCACCAGGCGCACGAACTGCCTGCACTGGAAGTGCTCGTGCACACCCCACTGCATCGACTCCAGCTTCGCGACGGCCCGAAAACGATCGTCATGGCCATCGACCTTCATCCCCTCATTGTTGATGACCTCGATGCGCCAGAACGCCCTGCGAGCCCGTCACGAGCCACCATCTGCCGAAATCCTCCTCGCGTACACGAGCGGCCAACGCGGCCCAGGTGAACACGCCGCGAGCTCCGCTGCGCATCGCGGGCAGCACCCAAGCGTCAGCCGCCACGGCCCGATCCATGGACGTCTCGAACTTGGCCGCCACAGTGCGGCAGCGATGATCAGCGAACAGCTCTGCATCTCGAAGGTACACATGTTTTTCTGCCGCCGTTGGTTCTTGCCGAAACCGATACACCCCAGCTGGATCCACATCGTAGGGCACGCCATTCCAACTGCCGCTACGTCGCACCCAGTCCACGTCATCGCTACCATTGTCGTCATACCTCGTGACGCCGGCCGACGTGGCGCCGACGTACTCAAGAGCCGATAGCGCCACGTGCTCGGAAACCCCCTTTTGGTGACCCAGGTCGTCCCCGGCGCACCTCGGCCAGCCCCACTCCATGGCAGACCAGCTTCACGAGCAGCGGCGTCACGACGGTACCCCCGAGCGCGCCGCCCAGCCGTCCGAGATCGAAGGCCCCCCAGGCGTCCCACGGCTCATGCTCCGCCAGCCGCTCGCAAGCAACGCAGGTGCGGCACGAGGACGCCGCCTCGGCGGAGGCCTCCGGTGCCGCGCGCTTGGCCTCAGCGGCCAGCGTAGGCCACACCAGAGCGGGGCACGCCGAGCAGTTCACGCTTGGCGGCGGTGGGCACGTGAACGAAGGGCAAGCTGGACAGGTCGAGGAGTAGCACGGGCACACAGCAGCGGCGGGGCCCTGGCGGAGGTACGCGACTGTCGCGTGAACCGCCCCACTCCGCGCCAGCTGCCACAGCCGCGCCGCGCGCGGACCGCTCCCCCGCTCCGCCTTGAGCCCAAACGGTCAAGGCGGCCCGACCCACTCATGCTCCGCAAAACGCGTTAGGATAACTGCAACGATGAAGAAGTCTCAGGCGAAACGACCGGCCCGCACTTTCGACTGGCCTCGGGGTGCGACAGTAAGGAATTATTCAAAAAGAAAAGAAGAGGAGGAGGAGGGGGAGGAGGAGGAGGAGGGGGAGGAGGAGGTCCTCTTCAGGGACTTGTTCTGTTCTGTTCTGTTTTATCACGGATCCTTATTAATCAACACACCCTCCCCCGCTCGACAGGCCGCCGCCAGGAGCCCCCCCCCACCATGATCCCGATCAAGCACAATAGAGAGCGTATGAGCGGCCACCCGGTGATCACTTTGCGTTGGTGTTCTAATATTCGCGCCCTCGCGCCGCACCCTTACAGAAGGGCAGCCGTTCTGACCCAGACCGCGACGAGAGCAGCGCGATTTCGGATCACATCAATCCGCTGCGAGCTTGTCGACCACCCGCCGCCACTTTGCACTGAATTTCGCCACCGTGTCTGCGGCACGTTGAGGCGTGGAAGAATGCCAAGGGCTGCCTGGCAAGGTTTCCGTAGTCTGCTTAGGGACCACCCCACGCCCGCTCCGGTAGCACCCACCCTCCCGGGAGTCCCTTGGCGGCAATGGCGCCTCCCTAGGGGTCTCCAAGGCTTTCATGATGGCCCAGGAGGCCCTCAAGACGGTCCAAGAGGGCCCCGTGTCGCCAAACGATCGCCCGACGACGCCCAAGATGGCCTCCAGATGGCCCAAGGGGCGGCCTCCAGATGGCCCAAGGGGCCTCCAAGAGGCCTCCCAAGAGGGCCCCAAGAGGCAAACATGATTAGGTCTTTGAAGGATTTTGGCGTTCTCGTCTTTTCGGCTTTCCGACGCTCTAAGACGGCCCAAGAGGCCTCCAAGACCACCCTAAAACTGCCCGTAGCCACAAAAGGGGCCCAAGATAGTCCCCAAAAAGGGCCCACGAGAGGGAACACGAACCGAAAATCCGAACCTTCCGCAAGGAGGTCCTAAGAGGCGCCCAAGAGGCCCCAAGAGGCCCCCAAGAGGCCCCAAGAGGCCCCTAAGAGGCCCAAAAGAGGCTCCAAGAGGCTCCAAAACGGTCCCCTAAGAGGCCTCAAAACTGCCACAAAGAGGCCCCCGAGAGGCCTCCCACGAGATCCCAACGAACATCCAATGGACTTCATACCCGCAACCCAAGCAAGGTGGCGAGACTTGCCGTAGGCAGCTGGATATTGCCCGATGTGGGTGCTGTCACGTGTACTGGCGCCCCTGTCACCGTCGGGCGCAGTCTGCGCGCGTGGCGCACCTGGCGCGGCTGGAGCATGTGGCACAGTTGGCACACGTGGCGCATCTGGCACCTGGCGCACTTGGCACGCGTGGCGCTGCTCGCGAGCGTCGCGCAACTGACGTCTGGATTGGTTACCGAAGGCTGTCTCCCCGATGGCGACCTTGCCTATGCTGAGTCTTGGGAGCTACTTATATGATGGGAGGGCAGGTGACAGCGAGCGTGACAGCTTGTGGCGTTCTCTTCGGGAACTTAGGTCTGGAGGTGGGGGATGGGGGGCGATCCATAAGAGCGTCCAATATGGCCACAGATAGTCCAGGATGGCCTTCAACACTGCACAAAAATAACCCAGGCTGGTTCAAAATGGTGTTCAACATGCGTCCACGACGCCTCAAGACAACTTCAAACTGGCACGGAACCTCCGAACCCAAGAGGTCGCATTCATTTACCAACTTAGGGTGCTTCAAGGGTTGTTGACTTCTCGCCGTTTCGCTTCTAATTGGATTATGATGTCTCAAGATGGCTCCAAGAGAGACCCATAAAAGCCCAAGACGGCACCAAGAGAGCCGTAAAAACAATTTGATCTGGCTCGAGACAAGAACTCATCAATGTTCCAAACATTTGGCCATAACTGTTTTGGCCGCCGTCACGTGAGAAGCCCGGCGCGGTCACGCAGGAGGGGGGACCCGCCACAGTCGAGTCGGACGAAAAGAGGGGGACAGTAAAGGAGGGGGTTAGCGAATCAGCTCAAATAATTACCCATCGGTCGGAAGAAGTAGGTAGAAACATGAAGTAGGAAGGCGTTGGAAATAGATTGGGTTTCCGCACACACCCTGAAGAGGAAGGAAGAGGGAAAACCAATCGACTCTTGAAGTATGAAGGCGCTGAAAGTAGATTGGAATCTGGGAATCCCAAAATACCTACTTTCAACGACCGATGGGTAGCTGACTTTTCTGGCGGCTCCCAGCGCCAGAGGCGCCCATGTATCAAGGAAAGCGCCTGGCGGAGGAGGAAACCAGCTGCATTCAGCAAATTTCGTACCTCTCCTTTCCGAATCCCCCCGCTCCGTCCGACCCCCCAAAAACGATCTCTCCTGGGGCGCAGTCTGACCACCAGGACTTCGAGGCGAACCTACCTGTGGCGACGTGGGTGGGGTAATGGTACACCCTGCGAAATGCTTAAGAAATCATGGGTTAAGAAATTCATAGTCTCAGAACTTGAGTAGAAGCCCAGAATTTCCAATCAAATCTTAGGATTTACATGGAAACATTAAGAATAATCGAGACTCTGGCCGAAAACTTGGGTTTTCTTAACCATCGCCTAAGGTGTACTGGTATATGTTCCACACTGGCTAATGTAGCAAGAGCGACAAATCAAACAGACACGTTTTGCAACATGATGATCCATCTTCTGCGCCTCACGGTTTGCGCGCGGCCGGTTGAGTTGCATTCCCGGCTATGGTCTACTACGTGAGATTCATTATAGCACCTTGGCCCATGTAACGTTGTTTGCTCGGAAGCGTTTCCGACCGATGCTGAGACATGCTTGGGTGAAAAACTGGTAACGTTTCGCGTACCCCCACCAGCGGCCGCTTAGTTAGTTGCGCCCTTGGACGCCGCCCGACTGCTCTCGGCGCGGTCGCGATCAAAAAAAGTATCACCACCAGCCTACTCAAGGTCAATCACCAGGCGAGTTGCACTGACCAGGGAAGTGTAGCAGCATGCATTCACACTCTGGGAGCCTCCTGGAGGAATCTTGGGGCTGTGATTCCCTCTTGGGGCCAGTTTTGAAACTTTTGGGGTTCTCTTGGGGCCATCTTTTTGTCTCGCTGGGCTGTGGGACGCGACAGACGTGACTGGGCACCATCAATCGCAATGGTTTCTGCAGCAACACGCATCCCAAATATTAGAGAGATAAGCGCCCCGCACTGCTACACTAAGCGTGTTTTCTGCGGGACACGCTCAGCAGCTGCTTCCAAAGTCCAAGCAGCCCCCACAGCATGCCAACCCAGAAGCGCCACCACCGGACTGCAATACGAAACTCGCATCCCGTGGGATGAACATCTGGTGTCCCTTTTCCACCTCCTCCTCCTCCTCCTCCTCCTCCTCCTCTTCCTTCTCGCCTCCTTCCTTCTCTCCTCTTTGCATCTCTCTCTCTCTCTCTTTCTCTCCGCGACTCTGCCCTCCCCCTCGCTCTCCCGCTGCTGCCCCCATCGATCCTTGCCCGCGACAGGCAGGTTGAACACGCCGATCTTGGCAACATCCTGGAAGAAGTCCGCGAAGGTGGACCGTTCCTGCTTCGAGGGACGAAGGAGCGAGGCAGAGGAAGAGGAGGAGGGCGAGGCGGAGGAGGCGGAGGATCGACCGATCGAGCTCTGGGGCCGAGTTCGGGGGTGACGCCTACTCTAGATGTGAATTCGAGGCGCTCTACCCTGGCTCAAGCTGCCGGAGGGGCCGCCGTTGGCGGTCTGGGGAATGGCCATAGCAAAGCGGGCGCTTACCTTGCAACCCTGGCCCGTCCCTCCGGAACGAGAGCGTGTGGAGCGCAGTCTGCACGTGAGAGAAAGATCGTCCTTCATTCTTCTTCTCATTGTGCTTATTGTGCATCTTGCCCCACACATCCATATCTCATATTCTCGTTGTGTTCACTTCGCGACTGGGGGATCTGCCGTCACGTGACGCTCGGGCCCTTCCCGCACCGTCTCCCTCCCCACGCAGGGGGGGCTCTGCGGGCGGGGCGGCGCCCGCCCTCGCGGACGCTCCCTCGCCTGCTGCCCTCGACCTGTTTACCCTCGGCTCGCCCCTTTCGGTTGTCTTCCGGGGGGCGCCTCGGGGGGGCGGGGGAGAGGACGGTGCACCAGGAAGTACGATGGAAAAAACAACCGAGATCTAAAAAGTTCGGGCGTGGCCACGGCAAGCCTCTGGGGCAGCCTGCCTCTCTGAACTAATTCTCTAAATCTGGCGCTATTCTGGAACGCTCTTGGCACCGCTGTCGGAACATTTCCAACTCGCACCCTGTGCAGTTTGACTGCATTTTCGTCCAAGGCTGAACTAGGCTGCTCATGGCCTACGCTGTGCGTCTTATTCAATGCTGCTGCTCCGTTCACCGTCTCCTGCTTCGCTGGACCTCGCTTCTCGCTACTTCCCGCTGCGCTGGCACTCGGCCCGCTTAGTCCAGCATCTGCCCTAGCTCCCTCTCCTGCGCCCCCCTCGGTGCCGAGCCACTCTTCCTCGCGGCCCCCTACTTCTTGTTGCACAATGTGGCGCGCGGCTGGTGTTGAGCCTCGCCGGACTTGAAATGGCTCCTGCACTTCTCCTGGCCGTTCGTTGCCTTGCCTTTGTTGCGTTTGACGCGGTGCACCGGCGCCGCGTCTGCGACCCGCTCGTTGTTGTTGGCGCTGTCGGCGTCCATGATAACCTCTCCGCGAGACTTCTCGACCTCTTTTTGCGCTGCTCCTTTCTCCGGCGTCTTGTCCGTACTCGCAGACCTGCGCCCTGACTCTGATGTGCGGCGATCCCAAGCTGCCTGTGTCTACCTCATCTCCGCGCTTCGCTCGCCGGTGCAGCGCTTGCGCCTCCTCGTCGTACTTGTGTCTTGCCTCTCGCCCCGTAGTAGCGATGCCCGCCGATGTCGCGATCTCCCAAGTCTGTGGTACCTCCGCTGCCTGTTCTGCCTGTTCCCGCGCCTGCGTCAGCTTGCGTCTCGTCTTTCTGTCGAGCATCTGCTGGTTGTTGTTGCCCTGGCCCGCTGGCGCCATTCCTTGCGGCCCCCGTCTCGGTCGGCTGCGACCCTGTGCCCGTTGCCCCGCGAGTGCGCCTGCCATCGCCTGCGGTCTCTGGTCTAAGATGGACTTCGCGTGCTGGCTGCAATATCGGTCTGAGGAGATGTGCGCAGAGGTGCCGAACAACACTTATCCTTGTCCATGGCATAAAGGCCACAGAGCGGACGCTGCGGCGCATGCGGTTTCGCTGCATGCTGGTTATTGGTCGCCCCTGTTGCACGCCCCCCACACAATACTCCTAGCTAGATGTTTCCAAGCCGTGCCTCTGCATGTAAACATATGCTTGCAATTCATGCCCTCGCTGTTGCTTGTCAGGATGGCTACGAGGTCGTGGGCGTGGTGCGTTTTGATGATGTTGTTGTTTAAAATTTTCTTGTTTGCGAAAGGTTGCCCACATTATGCCTCCCCGCCATGTGGCTCGCATTTCCAGGATCTGTTATCTGGTAGAGCAAAGTATTCATGATGCTCGTCCGTTCGCTCTAGTATTCCTGGAGGAGGGGCTGCTACCGTTAGTCTGTTTGCTCGCACCTCCCGAATGTGTAGCACGCGTAGCAGTTCTCGAACTTCTAAAGCGAATCGGAGACCGAGTCGCACGTCATCTGCATCTCCCAATGCGTTGAAAAAGCTCTGCGGGACCCTGCATGTGCATCTGGTGTTTTCGAGAAACCGTTCGGCCCATGGATTCGCGCGGCTGGCGCGTTCGTCTCCTTCGTCGCTCCCGTCCGCCGCGCCGAGCCCGGGCTTCCCAAACGAGGGAGCGACGAGCTGTCTGTGATTATTCGGGTGCACGAGAAACTTTTTGAACCATCCGAATCGTCTTACCAATGCTTCCTCCGCTGGTGACAGTATCTGCCAATGGCGGAAGACTTCCGGCGTGCTCAGTGACCGCGCGCCGCCGTCCACTCTCCGCGTTGAGGCGTCTCCTCTCATGGCCTTGCGTAGCAGCGCCCCCGCTGCATTCCGCGGTTGGTCGCACTCGCTGGGCGCCGGCAGGTGGCGCTCGATGCAAGACAGCCCCGCGTTGATCACTCTGCAAATCAGTGCTGCTTGTTGCCGTCAGTATCGTACGTTAGCCTCGCTCCAAAAGGCCCCGCACTCGTAGCAACTCTTCTTCGTGGCCCTGATCCGTTGTGCCAGCTCCGCTGCGTAACCCTGCGTCGGGCTGATCCGTGGCCCAAAATATCTCGCCGTCGGTAGCGCGCGCCCTGGTGACCGATGTTCTCTGCCACGCTCGGGTAGGTGATGGGCCCGTCGGGCGCCTACACCTTGGAAGTAGACGATGTTCTCCTTGCGCTGTGTCTGGCGCATGCCGATGTCTCGTCGTCGATTGTTGAGGTACTCATCGACTCTTCTCGATCGCTGTGCCATGTGCGTCCAATTTGCCGCCTCACCTCCCACTGTGATTTTTGCGCAAGTCGCCGGCGTTGCCGGTCCCGCGTGCACTGGTCGTTGGAATAGCCCGCTGCCTTCATGCGCTAGTTTGTCGCAATCCAGGTTGTCGCCGTAATCTTTGACCCAGCGCTGGATGCACGGCGCGAAGCTCGCCGCGAAGTTACGCGCCATGGACGGGTCGCCCATGAGACCGCCGCGCTGTGGCTTGATGCACGCCCCCGCCTCGCTGTCTCTGCACGGCATTCGGAAAGTGGCCCGTCGGTATCTCTGCTCTCCCAAGTCCCACGCGTCTTCTGGCATGATCTGGCTGTTGGCCGCGCCCATCGCGATCCAAGATCCGCTGGCGAACGCGTTTGGCATGTCCTTCAAGGTCGCGATGAAGTTGCGCCCGGCCTGGCGTGCCCTGCACTCGACCACCGCCATGGCTACTATAGCTCCTTCCCTCCTCTGTCCTCCGATGAAGCCGTAGTCCTGGTCCGCATGTGCTTTTTTCTGCTCTCTTCGCTTGCGCGCCGCGTAATATGCCTTTCCGATCGGGCCCGCGATGCGGTGGATCCTCTGGCCTGGCGGCCCCTGCTAATTATTCTGCTTAACTGATGTTGCTTCACGTTGATGCCGCATGGCTGGCGCGGCGTTGCCCGTGCGAGCTGCCGCCAACGCTGCCCGGAATGCGTCGCTGAAGCGTGCTGACTGTGCGTGTTCTGCCAATGCCCCCAATCCCTGCCGTCGACGCGTCGCGTATTCGTAGTCGCAGAGCAGTAGTCCCCATAGCTCCGATGGCGCCACCGTCGCGGGCGCCGCTCGTCGTAGCTGAGCTTTCCTCAGGCTGTAGCTGATGTGCCCCATGTCCTGGTCGATGATTTCCTCCAGCTCGTTCTCGCCGTAGTCCACTGGCTCCGCGTAGGCAGGTACGTGGGCAAGTTCCGTTTCTCGTGGCCCCGTTCCTCCCGCGCCGCCCCGTCCGCCTTGTAGCTTCCGAAAATCTAGCCACTCCTGTCGCGTCGGCTGCACTGCGATAGTGGTGCAATAGTTTCGTTTTCGTGGCCCACGCCTGCTTCCTGCGACGAGTCGCGCGAGTCTTCCAACGCGGGCAGAATCCCTGCATTCCCATGCCTCGTGTAATTCGGCCACCCCCCTTCGTCCGTCTTCTTCGTGTACGCCTCCTTCCCCATGGCCGCGCACTTCTTCGTTGTCCCGCGTAGTTGGTTCTCCAAGTGCTCCAGGTGCTTTTCGTTCTGATATGCGAAGTCTTCCTCTGCGCACGGGTTCTGCGCGTCGTCCATCGCGTTCGGCTCATCTGTCTCAATATGGTCATGGTGTATGATTCCCTTCCCGCAATCGTCGCCTGGAATCTCGATGCGCCGCGCGTCCCCGCTTCGTCGCAGCTGTTCCCGTCGGTGGCAACGTCGTCGCAATGGCTCCATCCGCTGTCGTCGCAGTGCCTCGCACTCTGGTGCGGGTCGGGGTTGGCAACCGTATGCTGGTTGTGCCGCCTCCACTCTCACCTCGCTAAGGTCCTCGAAGAGCTTGTCGGTTCCCCTGTGCACCGGGTCGTTGCCCCCAAGTTGCGTTTCCAGGTTTTCATGTAATCGCCCATCTTGTCGACCATGCGCGCTGCCGTCGCCAATAGATCCCTGCCCCATCTCACTGTCTGCCGCATTCTGCGTATCCGTTGCTTGATCGTCACTTATCGTCGCCTGTGCGGGTGCGTGGTCTCTGTGATGTCGAGTCGGTATCAGCTGGGGCCGCGCGCCCATCCTCTCAGTAGTGGTCCCTGGCTGATCACGTTGCCCGAATACTCCTGTGATATCAGTATGTAGTCGGTGCAGCTCGCCGCATGTGCCGCCATGTTGATCTCGTTTTGACCAGCTGTAATTTGTGCTTGACGGCATACTGTCGCGTTCAGTGCCCTGATCCTCCCTGTAGTCGTTCTCTGGATCGTCCTGGACCTAAAGCGTCGGTCTCGATGGGAACGCCTGCCGCGAATAGTAAGCTTCCTGCTGTTCGCTGTCGTGCTCTCTCATCCATCCATGTATATAGTCTCGCCACAGTAGCATAATACTTCTCCCAGTCTACTTCAGTTCGAAGTTGCGGTGGAAAATAATACCCAATGGTCGTCA